GGGATGAACATTTTATTGAAAAAATTCTGCCGCATCAACAAAGGTCATTAGCGGCCTGTTCAAAATAAGGTGATAGGGTAGGGCTTGGGGAGCAAAGCCCATAATTCTAGCATTATGATTAAGTTTGGTGGCAAAAAGGATAAAGTTAGTAAACTATCAGGATAAAATGTGTTAGATGTCAAAGGTTGTAGACCGGTAGGTAATGGTTAATGGTTAATGGTTAAAAGCAAAAATAAATGTGCTAGACATCTAAGGTCATGTAGCACTATAGTAAATGTTAGTAAAGGGTGGTTAAGTTAGTGATTAGTTAACAAAGCTGGGCAAAGGAATTGGTGAGTGAATGGGTTAAGGTCGGGTGAGGTAATGTAAAGGGGTTAGATTAAGTGAGGGATATTTGTGTGTTTGAGAGGAAAACAGGTTGTCGAAAGGAGGATAGGTGGGGGGGGGGAGCAGAGCTAGGCTGCTTCAAAACGTGTGCATGATAATAGAATGTGTGAGACTGAAAGAGGAACATTACATAAAGAGCATAGGGGTGGATCGGATTGCGACATCAGATAGGGGTGTGTTAGACGGGTGTGGAAAGGGATGCTTGTGATATAAGGGATTCATGTGTGTATCCAGGAGGGAGTGGAAGGGATAGAGGGGATGGTGGGAGGGTTAATGTGGGTGGGGTTGGAGTTGGGGGGGATGGGTTGTGTTGGGAAAGGGTAGGAGGATAGGGTGTAGGGGGGATATCGTTAGGAGGAGGATGGATATCGGCAGTCACTTGGTGTGTGGAGGAAGCAGGAGTTGTAGGATTTGAAGGTTGATGGGGGTCAGTTTTCATTAAGAAGTCTTGAATATTTTCAAGAGTTTCTTCAATGGAGTTGGTTGGGGAGTTTTGTGGGATAAAGGATTTCTTGTGAGGGGGGGGAAGAGAACGCTGGTGTCTCAAGAGAGTTTTGGGGGATAAAGGATTTCTTGTGAGGGGGAGAAGAGAGGACTGGTGTCTCAAGAGTAGGGGCAAAGGATGGTGGAGGTGATTGTGTGGTAGGGGAAGAGGGGGTGGAACGTTTGTTCTGTCTGTTACGGGGAGTGCGAGGAGGGAGAGGGGAAGGTGTTGGGGTTGTAGTGGTGATTGGGGTATCTGTAGTAGAGATTGGAGTTTCTGGATTTAGGATGGCAAAAGAGTTTGACTGGGGAAGGTAGGTGGGGTTAGTGGGGGGGTTAGATGTAGGAGGGGTGGGTTTAGGAGAAGTGTTAGAATGAGCAGTATTACTGGAGTAAGGAGTAAGAGAGAATCCACGTCGACGTGCTTCCTGTCTGGCTTCACGCAGTGTGAGTCCGAGTTTGAATCTGAGAGTTGCTACCTCAGATTCAAATTTGTAGGTGGGACAGCCCCTATAAAATACATTATGGGGGCCGCCACAGTTGGCACATGTGCGCGATTGTGCAGAGCAGCTAGATCGGGTATGGCCAGGTTGGGCACATAATGGGCATCTGGCTGTGGAACGGCAGTGTTTGGCTGGGTATCCTAGACGCCAACAATTTTGGCACTGACGTGGAGGAGGTTGGTATGGACGAACAGGGAGGGATTCGCCTCCTATGTAGACGTTAAAGGGAAGGTCATGTCTACGGAAGGTAATTTTGGCTATGTTAGTGGGTTTCTTTCGATGACCTCTGGGGGGGATGGAGTAATGGTTAATGGTTAATGGTTAAAAGCAAGATAAATGTGCTAGACATCTAAGGTCATGTAGCACTATAGTTAATGTTAGTGAAGGGTGGTTGAGTTAGTGATTAGTTGTCTAAGCTGGGCAAAGGAATTAGTGAGTGAAAGGGTTAAGGTCGGGTGTTATATTAGATAAAGGGTATGCATAAGAAAGGTTTCTTGAAGGCATACAATAGATGGGTTATAAGAGGAAAGGATATGATGGTCAGGTCTGTGGGAGCGGAAACCGCGAATATTCCAATGAAGGATAGTTATACTTTCGTTGATTTAGTGATATAGATTGTAGTACGTGTTGGAGAATTTGAAGGGGAAGCAGCTAGAGGGTGGGATAAGGACTGAGAGGTTTGAGATGGGAGAGGTGTGGGAGTTGGTGTTCTATCAGGAGGGGTATTAGGAGATGGAGGGTCTAAGGAAGGGGATACTTGTGACATAAGGGATTCACGTGTGTATCCAGGAGGGAGTGGAAGGGATAGAGGGGATGGTGGGAGAGTTAATGTGGGCCGGGTTGGGGTCAGGGGGGATGGGCTGTGTTGGGAGGGGGTAGGAGGGTAGGGTGTAGGGGGGATATCGTTAGGAGGAGGATGGATATCAGCAATTACTTGGAGTGTGGAAGGAGCAGGAGTTGTAAGTTGAGTGTCGGTTTTCATTAAGTAATCTTGAATATTTTCAATAGTTTCTTCAATGGAGTTGGTTGGGGAGTTTTGGGGGATAAAGGATTTTTTGTGAGGGGGGGAAGAGAGGACTGCTGTCTCAAGAGTACGGGCAAAGGATGGTGGGGGTGATTGTGTGGTAGGGGAAGAGGGGGTGGAACGTTTGTTTTGTCTGTTACGGGGAGTGCGAGGAGGGAGAGGGGAAGGTGTTGGGGTTGCAGTGGTGATTGGAGTATCTGTAGTAGAGATTGGAGTTTCTGGATTTAGGATGGCAAAAGAGTTTGACTGGGGAAGGTAGGTGGGGTTAGTGGGGGGGTTAGATGTAGGAGGGGTGGGTTTAGGAGAAGTGTTAGAATGAGCAGTATTACTGGAGTAAGGAGTAAGAGAGAATCCACGTCGACGTGCTTCCTGTCTGGCTTCACGCAGTGTGAGTCCGAGTTTGAATCTGAGAGTTGCTACCTCAGATTCAAATTTGTAGGTGGGACAGCCCCTATAAAATACATTATGGGGGCCGCCACAGTTGGCACATGTGCGTGATTGTGCAGAGCAGTTAGATCGGGTATGGCCAGGTTGGGCACATAATGGGCATCTGGCTGTGGAACGGCAGTGTTTGGCTGGGTGTCCTAGACGCCAACAATTTTGGCACTGACGTGGAGGAGGTTGGTATGGACCAACAGGGAGGGATTCTCCTCCTATGTAGACATTAAAGGGAAGGTCATGTCTACGGAAGGTAATTTTGGCTATGTTAGTGGGTTTCTTTCGATGACCTCTGGGGGGGATGGAATAGCATTGTACTGATGTTGCATCGTAGTCTGTGAGACAGGCAAGTAGATCTTCTCCACAATCTGACCAATCTTTGTCATAGATTGGGCAATTTGTTGGTGAGATTGAGACTGTTCCGGTGCAAGTATTGAGGGTTGGATGGGGTTCTGCTAGGATGGGGTTACCATATAGATCAGTTAGTTTTGTTAATGCTATGGCTTGATTTTCGGATGTTACTGTTACAAGACGGGAGCGGTCGGGTCGGCTACGGAAAGAGACTTTACCTACTTGTTTTTGGAGGCATTGTTGGAAGAGAAGGGTGTTGTCAGAGTAGGGAGCTGTGGGAGGGATCACGAAAAATCGGTCCCATTTGGCTGCACTGAAGAGAGTATTCAAGATTGTTTTAGAGATAGGGGTGGTAGAAGGGCGAGGGCGTGAGGAAGATGGAGTAGTGTTGATGGAGGTAGTGTTATGGAGAGGTGGGCTATAAGGCTGTAAGGTATTAATAAGGGAGGATGGGGTGGTTGATGTTGGAGGTTGTGGGGGTAGAGGTGTTGAAGTTGGGCATGCTGGGAGAGTGGAAATGTTCCTTGAGGGTCGATTGTTGGCTACTGTACTAGTAGGCATTGGTGAAGGGGTAGTTATTGCAGTGTTTGGAGCCGTGGTCAAAGGAGAGCCTGGGGTCGGGGAATCGGGTGGGTTTACTTCGTTGGGGCTATTTGATAAAGGGGCAAGCCTCATTGCCCCTAACAGTGGGGATATATTTTCATTACTGGCCATGGGAAGCCTGGATTATGTTGGGGGATAAAAGCAGTCCACCCCTCAGGGTCCCCTTGAGGGGTAAGGGCTAGATAACTAAATCAGGGGAATACCGTGCCCATGGCTCCCTCAGGCCGTTCAGGACTGGCACAAAGTCAGCCTTTCATCCTTTCAGCACGGCTCTCACACCTTAGGAGGTGGATAGCAGAAGGGTTTGGTGAAGGGACAGAAACAAAAGTGGGAAGGGAAAAAAAAGACCATGCATAATTAGTTGAGTCGAGGGCTGAGTCCCAAGGTTGGGGAGTTCCCCATCATTGGGTCCCAGTCTCCGCCTCCTAAGCCCCCCCACGACAACAACGGGCAAGGGATTGGGGGGGAGCATAAGACTGGGAAGATGGGAACAGCTGTGGTGAGGTAGTTCTTGTCCGGTAAACGTTGGGCACCTGCATACACTCGTGCCCGCCAACCATCCAAACGTTGGATTGGACCAGTTACAGTTTGGCTGACGGGCACTGCTCGTTTGTCTGGATAGGGACTTAAGGTCTTTTGTTAACGATTATGTCTGCATTTCAATTAAACTTTACAATCCCAATACATGAAATAGGTTACATATATTCTTGCATCATGATATACAGGTAATCATAGATTACCAATCCCTTGCTCCTATACCCCCACACGATAACGGACATGGGGTGAGGGGATCCTTTTTTAGGGACCTTTTGTTTTTGAAAAAAATTAATTACTTTTATCTACTACATAGGCACATAAAATGTACATTTGTAATAAGATTTGCAACCGAGTTAAATGCACATTCTTTTGCTTATATAGGATGTTGATATTTATATAATGTGGAAATCAAAAGGCTTCCTTTAAGCTTTTAAAAATCATTCATTACTAGATTCTTTTGTAGTTTTAGTGGATCATGAAAACAGTTTTAAAATTTATTTACCAACACTTACATATACACATTAAGACTGAATATGATAGTAATTTCCAGGGGGAAATTAAAATTACATACATCTATGTAAAAAAAAAAAAAAAAAAAAAAAATATGGCAACTTTTTAAATATTAAAATAAGCGAGTAATCCTGCATTTTCTTAAACACATTTTGGGCCTTTCCATTCAAATGAACTTTATATTCATTGATTAGTTGTACAAGGTCATATTTAGCAACATCAATTAGTATTCAAGAAATGGAAGTTCGTTTCAAATCGATCTTTATATCAATTCCAAATTCCACTAACAGGTGAATAAAATCTAAACTGAATTGTACTCAATTTTATTATATACCGAGATAATCCATCGACACAGCTATTTCATCATGTCACGGCAGCAGGTAGACAGTCTCTGCAGGGCGGTCATAATACACGTGGGGTGGTACGAAGCGAGGGGCCAGCCTTCCAACAAGAGTCTATTGCACGTTCTCTTGGAACTCTTAAATAGAGGGATACAGTTACTCCCGCAGAGCATTCTGAAATGTATTACACTTTACTTGTACTTTTTCCATAGGAGATCAGAGCAAGGGCAGCCTGTAAATAGTTTTTGATAAAGAATTCATTAGGTGGTAAACAGAATTAGCTATCAAATAGGAGTGATCAAGATGGGAAGTATGCAGACCTTATAAATAATCAATTTTGTAGCAACTAGGTTCCATTTAACCACAATTCATGGCAGCACTGCTTCCGGGAAAGCATTGACGATATCTCGAATACTACAGCATTTGCTTCAATACTAACCTAGCTTCCATTTCTTGATCACTTTGGGCACTTTTCTTGAGCATATCTGCCGTCTCCACCACCACCAATTGTTTGAATTCATTAAGAGTTATTCCTTCTGTATATTCGTTGTAGTGCTCATACTCTTGCATATTTCTAAACATGTCATCTGTATCTACATCGTGTCTTTGCGCACAAGAACATCCATCGTCGTCTTCAACGTGGTCCATCATCTGCTGGTTTTGATAAAAATCATGCCTGTCAATTTCTAAAAGGGAGAATCGAGTAATAAAAAACTGTATACTTCAACTGCTACCAATTGCCAAAAGACATCACATACCTCTTCATCTCTCATTTCCGAAGCACTGGGCTTGGCTAAGGCTGTCCCGAGGAGCGCACACAACTGCAAAGAAGGCGCTTTTCAGTAAGTGAGCAAATGAGCACATACATGACCAAGGTATTCCGAAACCTCCTAAACATTGGCTCACTTGTTTGTTACATTCATGTTCTGCATACATTTTCCAGAGCCTGTACACCATTTCAGTGTACTGAGAAAGCTTGATACTGCCAAATGGAAAGAATGGTACCATTTAACAGTTGCGCGCACACATCGGTAATGACTGATATTCCAGGTAACTTTTCCTAGACCGCGACATGGCTACAGCTAAAGCAAACCTTTCCAAAGGCTCTAACAGGTCCTACTTCATTGGATATACGTAGGGGCCCCGGTTTCTATCCAGGAGTGCCATGACTTATTCATATATTTCATATAAAATTTATAAAGCTGTATATTCATAACATTAATAGATGCAGTACGGATAAGCCGCCCACCACGTCCACTTCTGGTAATAATAAGAAGTGACAAAATAATTGCTTTTAATGATTCCCAAATGTGCAATGTATGCAATCTATGGCATGAACTTTCAATAGTATGATGGCCAGCAATACATAACATTCTATAACCCTTGTGTGAACCTTCTTAGTAGTAAAGGAGTTTTACAAGTAAATACCTGGAAAACAATCCACTTCCTACTTTCTACTTTCTATCTGGGGAACTGACCTTTGTAGTAATTACAGGGTGTGATAATTCGCGTTCGCTTACCACAATAGCTACAGGTAATGACGGTATTGTGTGTTAGCATGCGACTTCCATTCTTTTACAATCCCGAAGACAGATACCCAACAACAGGAACTGCTGCCTTTATCAATGATAGCAATAAACAAATAAATATTATTGTTTATTTCACAAGTGTTTAAGGTTCTGTACAAGAATACATGTAAATGGGTTGATAAAGTCATATTGAGTTAATTACGACCTCTTACATGATAAATCATTGAGGCATATGCAAAGGTGAATTTTGAATATAAAACACCTTTGTTCATAGACAAACTCAAAGGATCTATATAATAGAATAAACACTCGGGTGAGATTGAGGCTGCTCCAAAGAAAAGGTTATTCCCAAGGTGGCGGGGTGTGGCACAAGCGGGGACATTCGTGGAATACCCAGGAATGAAATATGATCGAATTTAATACTACTTCAGCTACTTCGAGCAGCCATGAATTACTTGTTAGTTTACAAATCACGAAATTTATTTTTTGTTCAAAAGTTACCTGTCCGCGAGAACTCAGTCATAATCCACGTAACAGTATCATCAAAGCAATCAGTTTCGTTCGGTGTTCCACAAGGCTCCATCATTGGTCCAATCTTATTATATTCATAAGTGATTTGTCATCAAATGACAAAAAAAAGGTCTTTCAGTACGCCGACGACTCTCTTCACGCTGCCTCTGTAAACGAGTTAAATGAATTGATAGAAAAGACCAAACAGACCCTAACAGAAGCAAAAAAAAAAAAAAAATCATGAATGGCCTGAAACAAAAAATACAATGTATTTTCATAGGTAGCCATCAGAGCATAGCAAGAATAACCACAGATACTATTGTGTTGTATTTGATGTAGCAACCTTGGAAATCTATACAACTAAAAAACCTAGGGGTACACGTAGACAGATACACGACATTCGAGGCATTGATCACATCTACAGGAAAGTAATGGGAACACTGATATACTTGAATCACAAAAAAATAAAATACCCACAAACAAAAATTGCTGTTATACAAACACTAGCAGTATCCTTAATTACTGTCTGTATTTTTGTTCGTGGAGCCCCAAATGTTTAAAGGATAAACTACAGAATTTCGCGGCAAGATTAGCAATGGGAAATGTAAATAAATATGACCACATCACACCACAAACTAAAATGGCTAAAAGTACAACAGAAATGCAAATATGACACGTGTATCCTGATCCATAAAATACAAGAACTTACCCAAATTGGCTATTACCTATACAATCAGGTAACAGGAGGTGTCCTTGTAAGGCAAAATAACTCCTTGTATATCAAAAGATCGAATACAGAAACCGGGGCAAGAAAAATGCAAATCCGAAGACTGGTGATCTGGAACCAACTAACAAAACATTAGAAATAATCTAACCAAAAGACATTTAAAACAAAAGTGAAAGAACATGTAAAATTTCAATGACATAAGGCGTTTGAACATCAAGCCAAGTAAGACATTTCGGTCATCTGTGATACTAATGTTCTGTCTAATCTTCTTAAACAAGCATTGTGTAATATCTATTTATACAACACCCTATTACATAATGTAAACATAAATGGAATGCCCATTGTAGTTAATGAATTACAGTGTTTTGAATTTGAATTACTTCCTCAGAGCACAGAGGATCTGCAGCCCTGAATTTCTTGAGGATGAGGTTGTCTGAATAATAAATTCTTTCACGTGCACGTCGCTATTAACGTCGTCAACGTAAAAAAGTATGGCGGAACCCAGGATCTCTTGTGTTGCCCCAGAAGTGCTCAGACTCTCCATTACCTGCAAACAAGGCAATGCCCTTCGCAAGTGCTGGGGGAGCATCTGGTCCTTACAGTTGCGATTAGTCTTTTGGAATCTGATTGAATAGGCGTTACAGACCAAAGGAAATGCCGGCGAGGTGTGTATTCTTAATTGAGAGAGCAGAAACATCCTTCTAAGAAAAGAAGGTACCAACAACCGGGGAAAACAATTGATATACGCTCCCCAAGCCCTTCTGCAAGCGAGGGAGGGGAGAGAACGCTGCAATTTGAGGATTCACCGAAGAAAACGGGGAAGACTGTCAAACGAAAATAAAACTTCGATTAACAACCAATTATTAATTGGACGGTTATGCTTAGTCCTCGGTCACCTGAATACTACCCTGGCATGGTGGCTAGTGGCCTGAGGGCTTCGTCAGGTTGTGCAGTTCCTTCATCTACTTCGTTACCTTCCCCGATTCATTTCCTTGACAAGTCGGAGACGAACAACCCAAGAGACAGCGGTTGTGCTCTTTCACCCGTCAAGAGTAAGACGGGAAACTCGCTTAAAAAAACGGGGAAAATGCTTAGCCAAAGTATGCTCCCGAAAGGACAGTTGACAGTCAATTGATGATTTTTGGTTATCTCCAGAATAAAATCTGGTTCTACTTTATGATCCTTAGATTGAGAGGTCTAATAGTGTTTACAATAGTTACTTTCAATAAATTGAATTGCCCAGTGCACAAAAACTCATTACCCAGATGTAACTTATGAACAATTATCGTATGCATAACACTTCTTACATATGCGCAAATATGACAACAAAAATCCCGTAGGAAGCTGACGCCAATCCGCCACCTCTACCGTCAACATATCCATTTACTACGTGTTTTCCTCTGGACCTTCAGATAATAGTGGATTTCTGTACATTGAGTTAGAGACCATTATAGGCAGGCACATCCAAGGGATGCAGAAGAAAGCGACATTTGATAAAAATTGATGACATTAATCTCATTCCTTGATAGCAGGGCGTTTATGAGCAGCAGTTTAAACTCCCTCGCCAAGACGCACATCGAGAGCGGTCTCCCGTTGAAAAACAATCCACCTCGTGCAACATCTGCCAAACGAAGCCCGGCCATTACTCCCGACTAGAAAGGATTTACAGAAATGTATTGATACTTAGGCTTTGTATAAATATAAAGAGTCTTTTCTATAATTTCAATCTCCAACCTTGGTAAGCAATTTCCGTGTTTGTTACGACCTCTACAGGGGTTTCAATGCTATAATTAAAATATGCGGTGGATATTGCTTTTCATTGATATAACATAGCAAATGTTCATTTAAACCTCGACTAAACAGATACGCGCCTCTATCGATGGCTGGAGAACCTATGAGTAATTGCATTTTTTTTTTCTATATTTCAGTGAAGTCCGAGGGCATGGTCCCTAAGGTTTATTTTGTGCCGAACCTGCACGAATGCATTTCCGAAGCTCTTAACCCCTTGCCGCCGGGTGACGAGTATACGCGTACCCCGTGCGGACCCGTCCCGCCGGGTACGTGTGTACACGTGCTCGATTTCTTACTCGTCCCGCCGGGGACGGGAAGAGGCGTGGTATCTGTATGACTGTATGAATTACTGTTTTTGAGCTAGTTTATATGTATACAAGTCTTCATATTGATAATTATGTTTGTGCAAGTATATGTGTACATATATGAATGTGTATATCTGTTCTTTGACGTGTTTGTGTTTGTCGGTTTGTGTTTTTGTGCGTATCTGTGGAAATATGGGCGCGCAACTTTCTTTCTCTGTGCGTGAGTGCGTAAGTCCGTAATTTTACGTGTGAAAGTGCGTGTGTGAATTGTATAAATGTTTACGCATGTTTTTTATTGCATAATTTTTTCGTCTGCTGTACTTGTGTGTTTCTCGGTCGTTTGTGTTGTGAAATCTGTGCGTGCATCTTTGCGTGTGTGCGTGTGATGTAGTTAGGTGTACAAATGTGCGTGCGTGTGTGTGTGTGATGTAAAATTGTGTGTACAAGTGTGCGTGTGAATGTATATGAATTGTATAAAAGTTTACGCATGCTTTTCATTGCATATTTGTTTGTATGCTGTGTGTGTGTGTGTGTGTTTCTCGGTCGTTTGTGTTGTGAAACCTGTGCGTGCATCTATAGTGTGTATGTGTAATGTTGAGTAAAGTAATTGTGTGTGAAAGTGTGTATGTGAACTGTATAAATGTTTCCGCGTGTCTGTCGTTGTTTGATAGACGGACGTGAGTGTTGGGAAGTTTGTGGGCGTGTATGTGTGTAAAAGGTTGTACAATTGTGTGTGCAAGTCTGTGTGGACTCGGACGGTGACGGGGAAGGCTGTCACCGACGAATCCTCCAGTTTTTTTTACCTTTTCTCTAAATTCTTATTTTTTGTGGCTCAAGGATGATTGCACTTTTCGAGTTTTAGCTGATGACGTCAGGTCATGTGACCTGACGTCATCAGCCAAAAAAAAAAGTTTGAAAGAGAGAGCGCCATGACACTTGTTCCCACTGTGCATGTGTGCGCGCGCGGGCGTGGGCAGGCGGGCATGCGCGCGCGCGCGCGCGCGTGTATGTGTGTGTGTGTGTGTGTGTGTGTGTGTGTGTGTGAGAGAGAGAGAGAGAAGGAACCTTCTGGAACCTTCCGGAGAAAAATTACCCGTTTCCCGCGCATACCTCACGTGACCTATCACGTGACTTTCTGGACCCCTCGGGCGCACAAGGATTGGCAATAGAGTAGTTTGGCGATAGTTTACATGTACCTCGCGTGACAAATCACGTGACCTGAAATCGATGATCTGATTGGCCTAAGTCCTCTGGAAAATCATATAAAAACCCATGCAGAGGGCAAGGTAATCACTCGCCTGCTAGAATCTTGTGAAAGATGTCTCGCATGTTGTCTACTCGCCGCTGCCGCAAGCCGAAGAACTCCCCTGGAGTCCGTGCCTTGTCTTTTGACGAGGAGACAGTGGACGACCCCCAACCGTCCACTTCCAGGGGATATTCTCGCTTGCGGAATGCCCCAGACCCGCTCCTCTATCTGTACTCATCCGCCGACGAAGTCGATGATGATGTATCAGATGAGGACTATACACCTCCTCTGAAGCTCCCCAGGACTAGTGATCTGTCTGGTAAGTTTTCTATCTTCTTTTTGACTTGTAAAAATACCTGGATCTTTGGACATGTACTTTGTTTCTGCATAGCATAACTTTTTTTACAGAGAACTCATGTTTTCTTTCGTATTTTACAGAAGTTGAAATCTCCGCCCAGTTCAACGGTGACGACTCGGATTGGGAGGAGTCCGACTCCGAAGAATCGGCCGGAGAGGCAAACTCAGACATCGATTACGATTATGTCCCGCTGATGGATACTTCTCTGGACTCGGACGAGCCCCTCGGAGAGTACGTACGACGCCGGTGGGAGCGCAACGCTCCCGGGTCTCCTCGTTTTGTTTGGTCAAGAGAGAAGAACTTCGTCCGGCGTCAGGGCTTCGAGGGGACACCGGGTGTGCACGAACACCTTGACGCATCGTCCAGTCCCTTGGAGATATTCCTCAGCTTGTTCCCAGAGGAGTTGTTCCAAACTATTGTGGATGAAACGAATCGGTAAGCAACTTACAAATTACCCTACTGTTTTTTGTGCTCTGCCTTGAACATTTCTACATGTCCTTTTTGAAACACCTGTTTTACAATGTCTTTTTTCTTCCAATTACAGGTACGCTCGACAGAACCCGCGCACCCCTTCATCCCACATGAAGGGGTGGGAGGACACAACGGTGCAGGAGCTCCGCTCATATGTCGGCCTGAGATTCCTTTCGGGACTTCAGGGGAAGAGGTGCCTAAGGGATCTTTGGTCGACGGACCCGTTGCTGTGCTCGTCGGTGTTCCCCAAGACCATGTCCAGGGACCGCTTTGACATCCTGACCTCCGCGCTCCACTTCGCTGACAACGAAGGGGAGCACCCCGCGGAGGACAGGTTGTGGAAGCTGGGCCCTGTGATTGACGTCTTGGATTCGACGTACCGTTCCGTTCTCATCCCCAACAAGAACGTGACCGTGGACGAGAGCTTGTGGGCCTTCAAGGGCAGGCATCAGGCCCTTCAGTATAACCCTAGCAAGAGGGCACGGAGGGGCCTGAAGGTCTACAAGCTCTGCTCGTCCGACGGTCCAGAGGCAGGGTATACGGCGGCCTTCAATGTTTACATGGGGCAAGATCGCGGCGAGTTCCCGGCGAGTATGAAGGCCGTCGACGACCTGATGACGAAGGCAAAGCTGTACGACAAGGGGTATCAGTTGTATACAGACAACTGGTATTCCTCCCCGACTCTCACTACCTGCAGTCCCGAAAAACCAGCGCCATTGGTACGGTTCGTACCAACAGGCGCGGTATGCCCTCGGACTTGCAGGCGAGTCGGGGACAAATCGACTTCCGGAGTAGCAACACCGGAATGCTTTGCCTGCAGTGGATTGACAAGCGTCCTGTGACAATGCTTTCCACTGCCCACACATCCAAGGTCATTACCCTGCCTCCCAACCGCCGAGGGGTGGAGAGGTCGAAGCCCGAAGTTGTTGCCTGTTACAACAACGGGATGAAGGGCGTCGATCTCTCGGATCAGCTGGCGCAGTCATATCCAGCAACCAAGAAGACCATCAAGTGGTACAAAAAGGTCTTCTTCTACATGCTGGATATGACGACCGTCAACGCGCTGGCTGTCCACCGGGCCCTCGGCGGAAGGTTTTCGCAATACAAGTTCCGTACGGAACTTGTCCGGGAATTGCTGCAGCATGGTAAGCATCAGACTTTTTGTTTCTTGTATTCTGATTTGAAATTTTATAGTGATTTTCATTCTACATGTCCATTTTTGAGTATGTAATTTACAATGTCCTTTTTTCTTGCATTTACAGGTGGCCGGCCTGGCTCCTTCCGCCGGAACCCTCCTCAGAACCAACCTGAGGAGGATCCCCAGCAGGCGCACATGCCAGTCGACACCCCCTTCCGGAGGTGGCGGAGATGTGCGTTCTGCTGGAGGAACAATCGGCGCAGGAAGGAGACCAGGGTCATGTGCTCCAGCTGCGGCATTTCCCTATGTGCCACACCCTGCTTTCAGGCACACCATGCCTGAAACAATGTACACTGTGTGTACATAGTGTACATACTATGTATGTACTTGCCTTTTTTACATACTATGTATGTAAAGTATAACTTCATTTTGAAATATGTAGGCATATTCCATGCCTATATATGTTACTGAACCCTTTTTACATATGTAAATATGTATATATGCAATTTTGAAGAAAAATAAAAATTCGACTTTACACCGCTTTTCTGTGCTCTCGCCCAAACCAACTCTTGACTTTACACACTCATATTGGTGAAACACTCCTAAAATGAAGTGTATACTACAGTATGAAACAATAAAATCCTTCATATGGCATATTATATGGCTACAGTAAGTCAAACTTTCACAGGTTTCTAGAGTGAAGAAAACGGAGGTTGCGGTTATACGCAAACCAGCCCCCCGAGCGCGCTGAAACTTGGGTGGGGTGGTGAGAGGGTCAGCACGAGTTGAGCGCACGTCCCGGCGGGAGCGTGCTAGGCTTATTTTTGTTCCCCGGAATGACGGGTTTAGAGCTGTTTTCCGACCCGGCGCCATTGGGAGTATACCGTTATTCTTTCTAGTTAAAGACTAGAAATAAGTAAGGTCTTTTTCTTATTTGCAGTTGCGATTAGTCTTTTGGAATCTGATTGAATAGGGGTTACAGATCAAGGAAATGCCGGCAAGGTGTGTGTATCCTTAATTGAAAGAGCAGAGAACGTTCCAAGAAAAGGTTACCAACAACCGGGGAACAGGCACAGGAAAGGCGTCAAAAGGTGCAAAGATCCCTACTCTACAATAGTCTTCCAACCAACCAGTCGAGTTGCTTATGATAATGCGTGCAAAATATTTAATGATTTAAGAAGTGAATGTTTGATAACAGGTTCTGTCTTGCGTAATAACTGTACTTCCCTGTACTAACTGTACAGGGAACTTGCAGCAGAACCCACATCGGCCTCTCACCTCAACCCGGGCCGTCAAGGGTTATTACACCAGAACCATTGCGTGTTATGCGAATAGAAAAAAAACAGTGATAGTATCAGTGAAGTTCATAGTGAAAAAGGTTGATTTCGCACACCCCGCATATTATTTCTAGGAGGGAACAGTTTCAAGGGGCATCGGTAAGGCTGGACTTTAGTATTCCCGACCAAGACCAGCCGTCACCGACTGTACTTACGCTGAAATCAAGATTATGTGGACCTCTTGCAAATTCACCACTACACTCGGTTGTCCCCCCCCCCCAGCCACAAAAGCTTTTACAGGATTCAACCATCTCCCTCTTCACGACAGATATCACATCCGGCGGTGTGACACATTGAAAAGAACGTCACACTGCAGCTATGCAATTTCTGGCAAAGAAGATTGCAGAAGAGCTGTATGCGGATGGACTGAG